AACAGGAAATATCAGGGGGTCCATGAGGGTCAGAGTCCCGTCTGAAAGGATGGGAACCAGGGAGAGACTCTATGGTAACGCACTGTATATGCAACTGTGTGGTGATAGTCTTCTTTTTAAAGTGAGAGTATATCTGACCAGTAAAGAGGGAAGATGTAAATCGAGTAGTGAGGACAAATGAAAGGACTTTTAAGCTTTAGGAATGTGCACATGTAAATTGTTCAACGGATGTGGTTTGATATAGGACATATTGTAACTGTCTCATGTTTAATTTTACTATGTTTATTGTTGTATTTCAGAGTGGATCAGTGTGGACAAGGATGAGACAGGCGGACCTAAAGGGAAATCCACTTTGGTATCCAGAGTGGGACATGAATACGTCAAGTCAGTACATTCTACTCTAAATCCTACATACTGGTCCTTTAAGTTTTGGGAGTTTTAATCTAGTGTGCAGATGCATCTTTACTTTTATTAAATCTGATATCCTGCACAAAGTACCAAGGATGTGCACACAGACACCTTTTTGAATTATCTGTTTTGTTCTGTGTTCTCGATGCAGGCCATCTGTGGTTCGTAAACAGCTTGGAGAGCTGGGAAAGGTCAGCGAGGAGGGAGAAAGGAGCAGCAAGGAGGAAACGGCTGCAAGGTACAAATACACACAGTGACCAGTAAATAATCTTTAAACAACCACACAAAAATCACGCCCCCTTAGACATTTTCACGTAAACCATGAATCATAAAAAGGTAATCAACCATCAACCACCTGTTCTCTTTTTGTGTGTATTGTGAAGGCCAAAACAGGACGCACCAGACGGTGATCCATCCATCAGCAAGAACAGCTACAATAATCCTGCCTACTACATCCTGGAGGGCGTTCCCAACCAGTCAGCAGCTGCACTCTCACCTGAGCTTCTCCCATCTCCTACTTCTACAAACCCCCAGGTAGCTAAAGCCCCTGCCCCCTCAGCCGGAGCTCGAACCAAACCCTCTTATGTGGGCTCAGGGCACTCTCACTCACGCAGGCCTATGACAGGGCACCCTGTTCGAGCTATTAGTGAGGAGGGCTCCTCCGAGGACGATGGAGGCACCTGTGCAGCAGGAGCGCAGGGGGGTGCTGCCGGAACAACAGTTGGAAGCACGCTGAACCGACCCCCTCCTGACTTCCCCCCTCCTCCTCTCCCTAAGGGAGCCCTGGAGATGGTTGCAGAGACCCCCTTCCCCAAATCTCGCCCTCTTTACCCAGACCTAGCTGAGGTCAGGATCCCAGCAGCCAGTCCCGCCCCCCCGCTGGCCCTCGGAGAAGGTTTTAGAAGAGGAGGAGGAGGAGGAGGAGTTGGACCAGGGGCTTTGGACGATCAGTCGTGTTCTGTGCTTCAGATGGCAAAGACACTGAGTGAGAGTGAGTTTCCTGGGCAGCCTCCACGCGCTCCATCTGCGCCGCCTCTTAGGGGGCAGCCAATGGGGATAGGTCTAGAGGCCTCCCGCACCTTCCCACCCAGAAATCCCATCCCAGAGAGTATTGCAGAAGACATGCCTGAGGAGGTGAGCAGATCAGTTCAATTCAGTTCAGTGGCTACAATCATTAATGCTTTGGTAGCTGTTTTGGAGATTTACATGGTTAGTTTCTTTTAGGCCCAAATTTTTGTGATACGTTTTTAACACAGAAGCTGTCTTCAACTTGCATGTGACTAAGCTACTTTTTACGTAAAGCTTCTACAGTTCATACAGCCATTTTTTTTTTTTGCTTCCTTTTTTGGGGTGAAAAAAGATAACCCAACATTTTTGGCATGGCAGCTGTGATGAGCTGAGATTTTCCTACAGCTGTTTTTATTTGATCCTGTGTTTTCCTTCGCCTGTGCAGGCACTGTGGGGCAGCAGCAGCTCGTCTCTGTCTGTTGGGGAGTCTTCAGTGGGGGAGTGGCTACAGAGACTGGGACTGGAGAGGTATGAGCAGGGCCTTCTACACAACGGCTGGGACGACCTGGAGTTCCTCAGGTGCACGCACTCACACACTCAGACACGTTGACGTTCATGATCTTGTGCATGCATAAGTTGAGGTTTGAAAGACGTTTCTTACATCTTGTATTGTTTTTTCCAGCGACATCACCGAGGAGGACCTCGAGGAGGCGGGAGTGCTCGACCCCGCCCACAAGCGAATCCTGCTGGAAAGCCTCAGGCAGCAGCAACCGCAGCAGCAACAGAAATAAACTGTACCGAACTGGTCTATGACTGGTCCAAACTGGCCTGGTGCCTCACCAGGTCCCAAGAGGCCAAAACTCAGCTGAACTGAACTGAACTGAGCTGGAACATGCTAACTGATGCCAGACTGTGCCTTCTGAGAGAAATTGCACTCCATTTGTACGTTTCAAAAAACAAAAGAAAAACACTTGTTGAACCACCATCCTTTCTTTTTTTTTTTTTTTTTTTTTTTTTTTTTTACACGTACTGTATGTTTGTTGTCGTTGTCGTAGAGGTGGCCTTATTTAATGAGAATCATTTCAGTCCTTCAAGCATCACTACATGACCGTCGGCTTTAAACCTAGAGAGAAGATGCAGGATGAGATAATGTTGTTTTTCTGGCCAGACGGAATTAGAGATCCGAATCACGTGTGGAGCAGCTGATGCCTTGATGTCGTGTCGTGTGCTTCGTGCCATCAGTAATGACCTACTGCTTCAAGCTAGCGTTAAAGCCTGTTTTCCTTTCTTTGTCCTGAGAAACCTTAACAAAGGAGCGACAGAGTTTAAGACTTCTCTGAAATGGGAAACTGCAAAATTTCAAGTTTAAAGCAAAATGAGAAGAGGGCTTTTTGTGGGTAACCAGAGCCATGAAAACACACTCTTTTAACAACAGCGTGTTTTTTCTCTGAGTCTCCCACTAATGGTCACATTTCGGAAACTATGTGGGAACTGTTAAAGCACACTCAAGAGTACCACACAGCTCGGGCAGTGTAACCCAAACGCTTCTGTGATGGAGGCGGACAGGAGGTGGTGACCGTAGAGAAGCTAACTCTGAAGTGAGCTCAACTCGCATTTCTCAAATTTTATACTTTCGTGATGACGTTTGAGCCACTGGTAGCATTTATTGTCTCAGTGTCTCTGCATGTATTTATGGTTTTATGTTGTTTTATGATAAAGGGAATATGGAGCAAACCAACCAAACCAGTCCTGCTAGAGCTAAAAGTGCATATTTCACATTGGTACAACATTTAACTGACAGTGTTGGACATCACCTGCCCTCGGTGTGTGATTTATACAAACATTGTGACACGTGTAGCGTACTGACTCCGGGCAGGGAATCCTTTTTGGTAGAAAATGAAATCACAAGTATACGTGAGGCAATAAATGCTGCAACTGAAGTGAAGTATCACTTTAAACATTCAAGGCAGACGATTGGTCGTTGTCACACTTTTATTGTCTGTCAGGACATTTCAATCTCAATTTGCCGAAGAAGACAAATCTAATTTTAGCGTCACATGACCCAGGTTTGTTGGGTCACATCTTTTCCTCATTTCATTTTGAATTGTGTAAATGCAGCTGCGTTCATGGAATTGGTTAACATAGTTAAAAACGATGAACTAATGGTTATTCTACTGAAGATTTACCATGCCATCATACTGTCAATGTCTTGGAGAAACCATTTATCACCAAAACATTTTTTTTCCTGTAATATAGTCGAGAGATTCGTCTCATATTGCTGATTTTATTTGGTTCTTTTTGTTACATTACTCGAGACATGGCCTTGTGGGGAAGATGTCATGATGCATTAAAAACAGAAAAGTCAGGTCTCTGCAGGACACAGGATAGTTTGAGGGCCGTTGTTCCTTCATTTAACCAGCAGGTGGTGCTGCTACTCCATAAACCTCCCCAGTCGATGCTGTCTGTGGAAACTTTGGGGATAATAAGACACAGCTAAGTCCTGTTTAGTGAAAGGAGTTATACTTTATAGTTATACTCAATGGTTTGTTTATATGTTGTTCTTAAAAATCTGAGAGTTAACTTACCTGTTAGTGTTCAGTCCGCCTTTATTTGTTCTTAATTTAAATCCTGCCTATGAGACTAGAAGCCAAACTAATTTAAGAGACGCTGACACCTTTTACTCTACCCAGGTGGATCACACCAAACTATCTCTCCAGTTAGGCGCACAGCTTGCTTTTGCTACAAAAATATGATGTGAAACATATTTTTGTGATGTCTGCTTATTACGGGAAGGCCTCGAAAGTAGAACTCTTAACTTCTAAATGAATGTGCTGTTGCATAATTGGGACTAAATATGATGAAACCTAAGGATGTGATCGTAGCAGTTTCATTTTATTTGTCATGTCTGAAAAGGATTCCCCCTTTTTCTTCTTCTGGTTTTCTTTGTGACCCATTATGTTGCTCCTGTACAACCTTAGACTCAGCTACTCGCCTGCGTTACGTGCTGTACTATGTGTCTAACCTTTTAACAACCATAAGGCAGAGAATATTGCCGTTCAGACAACACGTTCAATCTGATGTCTTTTTGGCCTTCCAGTGTTCTCGTTATGTGAGTGTGTGTTTGTATTGGTGTGTGTGTGTGCGTGCGTGTGCGAGTGCATGAGTGAATAAGAGACTGCCATCGTTGTTTTCTCTGACACACTCCATGTTATCTTGTTCCTTTCATGTAGTCTCCTTTTTTTTGGCTATGTTAAGTTAATGTAAGTTGTTCACTCATGTCATTTTTTTCAATTAAAATCTAATATCTTTCCTTATTTTATAGATTCACTCATTTCCTTATTTTTTTTTTGTCATCTGCAGGGAAAGGATGAAAGAGTTACAGTCCGTGAGCTGTAGATGTGCCTCGTTTAGAGAAAAGGGAAAAGCCGTACGGTAAAACTAAAATAAGGGACACTCATTTAGGTTTTTATTTTACCATAATTTTAAGGAGCTTTTACCTCAAAGTCCTTGAAAACAACTTTCTGAGGACATAACACACAACACTCTCATCACGCACAAGAAACCAGATCATTGAACTCGTCACATAGTGCTTCCATAATGTAGATTTATTAGAATATTCAGAGTAGTGCTATAACTTCTCATTCACTAGAGCTTCTGTCGATTCATAGTTTTCGTGGACGTGTTGGTCTGTGAGACAGATGCTCTGCAATGAAATAAATCTGTAAAGCAACATGAGAGGAATAAACAAAAGGCTACCTAATATTTATATTACTAATTACGGAATTTACAGTCACAAAATTTCATGGAGCAGTTCAAAGAAATTTGTGGGGTTTTTCCTCACTGACATAATAAAGAATATTAATAAATACATGGTTTTTTTTACCTTTTTGAGTAGATTTCTGGATTAACCCCCCCAAAAAAAATATAATAAATCAGCTCTGAAATCAATCTTGTTTCAGCTCTGAAATCAATCTTGTTTCAGTGATTTGCAACAAAATAAAATGGGGATGATACACAAGCAACTTGGCATGGTGGAAGAACATACAGACGTCTGCTTTTTAGCAAAAAAACAACAACAAAAGGGCAAAATCAGGGTATTAATGGACATACAGTAGAAAACTCTAGCAACTGTCTGCATGTCTCTCTATATTGCCAACATTTTGACCAGTTTGTGTTGCATTTCTGAGAGAGATCGTCCCATATTTGTCGGCTGCGGCAGAGTTAATGAAACTTAAAAGAGTCAGAGCGGGCGATGAGTTATAAGTCCGCTAGAGTTCAAACCACAGACTGAAGCACTGCTGAACAAACTCATTCCTTCCCATTAATCCAGCAGGAGAAATCATCAAAAAACAACTTCAGTCTGTGACCAAAGAGAGAAACCGGTCGTAGTACCATGATACCAACAGCAGAAGTCAGTTATAATTAGATTGACAGATTTGTAGGTTACACTCTGCTGCTCTGTGTATAACTCTTCACCTCTCCACCCAAAGAACAGGGCAGGAAACTGCAGATCTCCGTCTCTTTCCCTTGCTGAACTTTAACAAAGTGCCCACTGTTTGATGGAGAAAGGCATGATGGGACAGAGAGAGTGAAGGGATGGGACCATAAAGCCTGGAGGGGTTGAGGGTGGGGGTTGGGGGTCACATTGAGGATGAGAGTGGGGGAGTCAGGACTTGATACAGTAAAGAAGGAGGAGGGGATGAACTGGTGTCTGGTCTGGACCCGGCTGCTCTAATTGGATTTTGGGGTGCTCTGCTCTGCTCGGCAAAGAGATTTAAGGGGACCCGGTTCCCTTCTGGTGGGAGTCTGTGTGTGCGTGTGTGTGTGTGTGTGTGTGTGTGTGTGTGTGTGTGTGTGTGTGTGTGTGTGTGTGTCAGGGGGCTTAGAGGAAGTTGTGCTTGAGGGTAAAAGTTTGTTCTGTTTTGTTTCCCCAGCAGAGACCGGAGCGTGATGTTTAGATTTCTGCTTTAAACTCGTACCTGACCACCATGCTCATCAGACCCACTGCGGGGGTTTCTTGGAATGGCAGTGAGTGTGGGAATGTGAGTCTACGTGTGCAAGAAAACACGGACAACAGAGGGTGTGTATGAATGTGTGTATGCATATCTGATGTGTTTATCAGTTAATGCTGCACACAAACATCCCTTTGACGATGTGGAGTGTGAGGGCCTGTACATGAAGACTACACTGCGTCTGCTTTATCTGCGGAAGAGGGGATTTCTTGTCAAACTGTATGAAGGGCTCTGATCTGAGGGTGAACGTGAAGAGTTTGCAGTTGCATAATATTTTGGGGTGAGAGATGGTGACCGGCTTATTCTTATCTGAGCTTTGAGTTTTGATCGTCTTTTAGAGGGGAACCGAGGGCCTCGCTGAACCACAGCAGACTACACCAGTGAGTTCAGCGGTATAACGGGCAAGTCCTGACTCTCTCAACAAAAGCTGGAAACTCCTCGCTGTTCCAGGACACCACACAATGTCTGTCTGTCATTCTCTCTTCCTCTGTGCTTCAGAACAGGTTTGTCTTGATGCCGGGGTTGGGTTTTCTGTGGAAGGAGGACAGGACTCCGGCAAAGGGCCCGGTCATACTGTCCGCCGGCTGCCAGGCCTTCAGAATCTCCTGAGTCTGGACGGCAGGCTGGGCCACGGCCGGGTTGGACGGCCCCAGGCTGGACCAGCTGGGTGGCTTCAGCCCCTGGAGAACCGGAGAGTTGGAGGCGTTGGCGTAGCCGCTGTTGGCAGGAGCCGGGCTGGGGCTCAGACTGGCGGGGCTGCCCAAGTTTCCGTTGGCCGAGCCGGGCAGGGAGGCCGTGCTGTCAGGTGTGGGGCTACAGGTGGATTCTTTGGACTCATCATCATCTGATGAAGATCTCGGCTCTCCGCCCTTCTTCCCTCCAGAGCTGCTGCTGCTGGTGCTGCCCGAGGTGCCACCAGAGCTGTTGGCTTTGGCATTGGCTGCACGCTCCTGCTTACGAAACTTGGCACGCCTGTTCTGAAACCACACCTGTTAAACACAGACAGAGGTCAGATTAAGATAGATAGATAGATAGATAGATAGATAGATAGATAGATAGATAGATAGATAGATAGATAGATAGATAGATAGATAGATAGATAGGTGAGGTCAGACAATGTAATAGCAGAAGAAAGCCTGTTCCTCTCACCTGTACTCGGGCCTCAGTAAGGTCTATCTTCAGTGCCAGCTCCTCCCGGGTGTAGATGTCCGGATAGTGAGTCTCGGCAAAGACCCGCTCCAGCTCCTTCAGCTGGGAGCTGGTGAAGGTGGTCCTGATGCGCCGCTGCTTCCTCTTCTCGTTCAGGCCGGAGGGGTCCGAGAAGAACTTGTAAGGGACTGAGGGGGGAGAGATTATATCCGTTTAGTGGTCGAAAAGCAATATTTAATTTATTATGGACTTGGCTTTAAAACCGAAAAGGCCACGTAAACAACGTAACATGTTTTGAAATAAACGACGTTATCGGGAAATCTTCGATAAACGATAATCAACTGTTTTTCGTCGAGCAACAAGAGACCCTTTGTCCCCCGACGGTTAGTGGACAGCGGATTAATTGGCTGATAAATTGATTGCGTTGAGCTCAGAGCCAATCAAAACTGACCATGGAGTTTACAAACCAAAGCTGAACATTGTGAGATTGTACAGAAGGCTGAAGGCTGAAAGGCCACATTTATAACAAAGTGTTTAAAAGAAACAGTGTAGTGCATTCACAGAGCTAGTTCATTTATACTTTTTCTATTTTGTTTTATTTTGCCTGAGAATCGTTTGTGTTTTATAACGTTGACAGATGTATATATATTTATATATTTATTTGTGTGTGTTGTGTTACAGTGAAGAAAAACTATTTAGTCCAATTACACACATTAATTACAGGCTTAATTGGGCTGTTTTATTTAGTACATTTATAAAATGTTTAACAATAAGGGCTAAGCCTACATTTTTCATCAAACAGAATCGTGTTTGCAAATAAATAAATAATTATTTTGATTATTTTGGTAGTTAGGTCGCGGCTTTTGTCGCTATACATGAAGCAAGCGTTTAAATAAATGTGAGTCAAAATCCGCAGAAAGTCAAATAAATTCGCTGCTTTAAGAAAATAAAAAGAATAGAATTGATACTGTATTTAAATTTTACCTTAGGATATATATATATGACAATAAAAATGATTGCAGGCAAATAAGGAATAATTACACACCGAAGTCAGGTCTGTGTGTGTGTGTAATTCATCAAGGTTGATTTCGATTTCAAGCTGTCAAACTTTGATTTTGTGAGACTATTTATCATCATCATCATTATTATTATTATTATTATTATTATTATTATTATTATTATTATGATAAGCTTGTATAACAGTCCTCTTATTCATTAGATTGACGCGTGCATCTATAGGCTGTTGTCTAAATTAGTATAGAAATTCAATGTTTTACCTCTAAAATTCTCTTAACTTCATCATCAAAACATTTAATGATATTAAAATGTAAATTATTTCACTGATTTAGCAAATGTCTTTCTCCATGAATTAATTTATAATTTAATGTTATTCTAAATCAGGAATTAAGATACAAATGTCAAATAATTTAGGCCTTAAACTGTAAATGGTTAAACTATTTATAACATAAAATGCAGCTGAAAATTAGCCTAATTAAATTATTTTCCCCATGTTTTTATTTATATAAGTTATCGATAGAAGCTGCGCAGCTCACGCAGAAGGACATGCTGGAGACGAATACAATTATTATTATTATTATTATTATTATTATTATTATTATTATTATTATAATTATTCCCTCATTCTACGACCTTTCTACCTTCAGAGGAATACAACGGAGGCTCCTGTACCTGAGGAGTACGGTGTGGGCTGGTGCTCTCGCAGGGCTCCCAGGGTGCAGCTGGCCGTGCTGAGCGGGGTGCAGCCCGGGTTGGAGAAGGGTCCGCTCCGGATCGGGTTGTACTGGAAGGAGCTGGCCTGGCTGCATGAGCTGAAGTCCGCGTAGGCCGACGCTTCCATGGCCGCCATGCAGGAGTCATAGGAGTTCAGGTAGGAGTAATCCATCTTATACATGGAGATCAGCCGGTGCAAACACCGGTCTGCAGAGGAAACGACGAGGGGTTGACTCTGAGCGGAGAGGTTTCGGGTCCGTCTTCAGCCGCCTTTTATTTTAGGAGATAGAGTGAGTATTGTTCAGGGCAGTCAGAGTCGGTCTGTCTGTCTCTCCAGTATCTCCAAGGACAACTCCTGTCAGCTCTGTGCGGTATATATCTCACTGCCACGCGGACGTTTGTTTGTTTGTTTCTTGGTAAATAATCCAGATGTTTTCGCTTTTTCTCTCTACAGCTTCACTCTCCTTCTTCACTGTCTCCTCTCTCCTCTCTCTCTCTCTCTCTCTCTCTCCTCTCTCTCTCTGTCCGTCTCTTCAGTCTTCCTCCCGGGACTGCAGTTCGCTCTGCTCTCGCGCTCCGTTTGACAGCGCGCTGCGGCTCGCGCGGTGTTTATAATAAACTTGGCAGAGCGCGAGACAATGGCGAGGCGGTGGTCTAGTTTCCATGACAATGCCACCAGTGAGTGAGCGTGGACACGGACGGCCCCCTCCCACCGCTCGCTGCACCGCCCACGCGCTCCAGAGCATCGCGAGCTCGCAGGTGTCAGCAGAGTCTTAAAAACCTGCTCATTTAAAACGGTTCTTATGTCTTCTGCGATGCTTCCTTTATCGGACATTCTGTCACAGTCACCAGTTACTTTACATATCGCGATAAACTGCGTTTATTGTGAGTTTAATCGACGTATAAGATATAAGGACCGACACAGGTCGGTCCAGAACTCCCCATGAAACTAAGATAGGCTACGTTATCCTATTCCCTCTCTTATTGCAGAGGTTTGTTATGATTCAAGCCTAAAAGCCAAGAAAGTGCTCTTAAGTCCGGTTGGTAAAGTTTGTTGTGTTTTATTCCCTTTAAAGAGACTAATTACTTTAATAATCTCCACACTGACACATAAAGACTGGGACTGACTGGGACGTTTTGGGTTTGAAGTCCAGATTATGAATGTAGCGTTAGGTAAAATGTCACAAGACAGGCCCGAGCCTGGACAGATTTTATAAAGAGATGAGGAAAAAGAGATATTGATTATAGGGAATCGATCGGTTTGAAATGTGACCGGACGAATCTAGGCCTACAAAAACACACACAGGTTTGGACATCTCTCCGCTCGTCTGTGATGATAAAGTCGGATTATTTTTGCGCAATTATACCTCTAATTAGTTTAAGTCGAAGCATTAAAATGAATCTATTACCGTGTGACTACAGTGCAGCTCACGAGCCGCTCCAATAATACCCCACAGCGGGTCAATACCGTTGGACTGCCCCTCAAACGGCTCGTGGAAACAACTGCAGCTCAGCCACAGAAGTCTTTATGTGGGGGGAAACGTCCAGATGTGACGGTGATTGCTGAGATTAAAAGCTTTGATTTGATTCCGATCACTTTTACGGAGATGTCACCGGAGTGAGCGTCAGTTTGATGTATAGGACGAGAGAGGGAATTGGCTGCGGAGACAACCGAGCAACCACGACAGGCTAACCATAAACGCATTGACGCTCCATAAATTGGTTTAAGTTTATTGTTCGGTGTCATACAATGTGATAAGTCATATCCCACACGGCCCCAATCACACACACACACACACACACACACACACACACACACACACACACACACACACACAGAGGGATTGAAACCGGCAGGCAGGCGCGCGCGCTCCGTTTTCCAAATCTGTTGTTATTTAAAAAACGTGACGGCTGCATTTCAGATCTCTGTTCATCAAATTAACAGGCTTTTTATTACCGGATGAATTTCACCAAATAATACAACCCACAAACCAAAAATTACGCGCATGCCAGAAATTAATTAAGTTTGGCTCTTGTGCACGCGCGCGGCAACTAGGGCTGACAGCGCGCGCTCTTATCTCTGCTTGACCAGAGGCTGCGTGGTGATGCTCCTTAATGTCATTAACCCGACACACACACACACACACACACACACACACACACACACACACACACACGCACACACGCACACACACACACGCACACACACACACACACACACACACACGTGCATTTTCCTGCGCTGTTCTCACTTAAACAACAAATAAACATTATTAATAAGATTTGTTTAAAGCGTTTATTGTGCGTGCGGCTGGTGAGAGCTCGCGGACGCTGCGGGGCGGAGCGGCGCGCGGGGCTCCTGTTCATACAGTTGTTCATCTCGTGGTGATGTCGGATGTTCTGGCCCGACATCACTCACGTCTGTGGGTCAAAAGCTCTGAGTTTAAATATATATTTATTTATATATAAAATGCGTGTGTTATGCCACGTGTCCGTTTGGGGCCACTGTAGCCGTATGATCGAGTTTTAGTTGTGATGTTGAAGACTTTATGTTATATTTTAAATGTGTGTTGTAGTTATAAGCTTCTAATTATAATTCCACTGTTGTTCTAATGACAACTTATTTTACTTTTATTTATACAAAATATTCACCAGAACATCAAATTAGAAATCAGAAAATGATTTGTTGATTTTTTTGTGCACCTGCCTCTCCTGAGCTCTTTTACTGTAACGTTATTATGGAGCTATAATAATAGTTGTGATATCAAAGGCCCAGAAACAGGCTGCTTCCTGACATAAAATACTGTAACAATCATTATTTATTGTGGCATGTACGTAAAGTGCCCACATGGACTCTATCTGGTACAACATTTCTAACATTAGATTACAAACCAATATTACAAACATTGTCTGTCTCAAGCGCTTCAAATAAAGTCACCAGCTCCTTTAAGAACACAGTCCACTGCAGCTACCACTGAGGTTTCTGTGATCCTATAAACGAACTATATTCTTTCAACCACTTAGAATAAATATACATTTTATAAACCTTGTGATTGGTTTTTTTGGGGCCTGCACATTAACCATTGAGCTCCCAGGCCCACACCGTCTGTTGTGTGTTCTCACCCCGTCTGGTGGGTTCAGAGGTGAGTTTACCGAGAAACTTAAACTGTTTCAAAGTTAAACTCTCCGGGCCCTTTTTTATTTATTTTTTTGCCTCCCCTCCCCATAAAAAAGAGCAGCCAGGAGCGACCCTAGCTCTCCCGCTTTAAAGCATTTAAACTTTAATCCCTTCAAAGAGGGGAGCGGTCTCTTCCAGGCCACTAATCCGCCCTATAGTGCCGCGGCGCAGGGGGAGACCTCTCCTCTGCGGAGGCTTTAACTTTGGACTTTTACATTCATGGGGCGATTTAACGGAAACAGTAACGGGGATCTTTGGCATTCATGACGTCTGAGTCAACAGAGGGGGACACAATGGTCCCCTAGAGGCTCCTGAGGGCCCCTGAGAGAGGAGCCCCGACTATAGGGATTATAGGCCCATGGAGGACTGGGTTATAGGGGAAGTCTTATGGACGCACTTAACATGTGCTGTCCGTTTCCAATCGGAGTTATGATTGAGATGCTATTAAAAGATCAATTCAGCTTTTCACTGTTTAAATTAAAAGCTTTTATTCTATTAAAACATTAGGTTATAATAAATAAAATGTAAATGTATTTAATTGAGCCATTAAGACCATTAACCACACTTTGTTATGGGAATAATGCACGAACACACACACATTGTGTTATTATAATAAAACTCCATATAATCGCGTTTGAAACATTTGTCCTCATGTTTTACTTGATTAATGAATTTAGGCCTCATGTCCAAACGTCAGTCCGCCATGTTTAATGACCCTGGTGTATAATAAATAACTATAACTATTGCCAGGGTGTAAAGCTCAACATAAACATTTATGTAAATACTCTTCCAAGGGAAAAGTGCACTGCATGGGCCTTCTCTCCAGACCCCATTAATTGTCATGTCTGCACCAGATTATTTCAAACACGAAAGGGGCACGATCTGTACAGAAATCCTAATTAAATTCCCAACATTTGCCCCCCTCTGCTCCCGTCTTGCTGTAATTGTTTGTGAAGACGCCGACTGGAGGTCTGCGGAGCTGCATGCAGATCGGAACATACAGCAGCAGTAGGGTAACCTATGTGTGTGAGGCTGGTGGTGGCTATAAACACTGGCCTCCATGATGGATGGCTGGACGGTCTTGATGGAGAGATGGAGAGGTGTATGGACTGAGACAGGGGATAAGGGATGAGTGAAGGATGGGACACGGCTTAAAGAAAAGCCACGCGGGAGGCCCCCAGTCCGGTATCTGTCCTGAGACACGCGGTGGTGGTCTGAAAACCAAGTGAAGCTGTCAGTCAGAGGGAGAGCCTGCCAGGTCCATCCATCATGGAAGCTCAAAGAAGAACACGTCCCGTGTGCCGAAAGCCGTTTTTCCTGCTTCAGATTGAGGCAGCTATTGATCCTCAGCTCTGGATAGTGTCCTCCTCTGTGTCCTCCTCTGTGTCCAACTGTGTAAAAAAAAAACTCCTACTTGCCGATAATAAGATTAAACAATTATTGTTTTTGTTTTAAATAAATTTTTTATTGCGAGTTCATTAAAGTCAGTATCACTGATCCGAAGTCAGACTGATTTCACAAAAACAGGCCTAATGCTGTGACCTTTATAACGAATTAAATCACATTAATGCTTTATAAACACCCACATCTCTGCCTTTTAAAATGCTCATTATATTATATCGTTAATTATACTATGGCCTTCGTATCTTAATGATCAGCAGCAGTCTATAAATGTACAGGTACAGTTGATTGATTGTTAACATTATTTGTCTTTATACGCGCCTGTGAGTATTTTCTCATTGTTGAATTTGATTGGATATTTTATTGTGAATTATTAGATATTTATCCAATCAAAATTCAATCAGACAAATTAAAACATATGTATATATTCCTCTGTCTGTCTCCGCGCACACTCAGCAGGTCGTTATAACAGTTCCGGTTTTGGTTTTTAGATGTAATTTATAATCAGCCCCTAATTTTGATATTTGTATTTCCTATTAAAGTATCCATATAATTTAATAGGATTATTATAGCCCGTATTTCTCCCTCTTTAACTCTCTCCTCAGCTCTGCCAGCTGCAGCCACAGTGTGATCCACACAGCCCAGCAGCTGGCTCAATACCTGCAGTGTCACTAAAATGTGTCGTGTCATCGCCCCTCTTAAGAGCCTCTTCTCTGGGAGGCGGATTTGATTGCGCATAAAATAAAATAAAAAATCACAGATGCTGCCGTTAACATCGGCCTGCGTCTTTACACAGCAGCAGAGGCTGGCGGTGCATTTGATTTGCCCGGTGATGGATGAGAGACGGTGCCGGAGGAGGGAGGAGGGGGGTGGCGGGCCCGAGGCCTGGGTCGGAGGGTGGGGTGGGGGGGGTCCCGTCGGTGAGCCTGTCCCTGCATTTCAATCCCCAATTACCGGAATGTACCGTGACGCTCCGGCTCGAGAAGACGGCGCGTTTCTAACCGGGTTAGAGACAGGAGCAACAGCACGCAGCGAGTTGTAGGAGTTACATTCAA